TTTGGTCTGATTGTTTTCATTCCTCTATACCTCTCTTTTGGAATGGAAAAGTTTATCGGTGCCATTTTACCTTGGGATTACTTAACCTTTCTTATCTTTACAGTGGTTCATGGCTAACAGTTTGCCTTGAGTCTCAGAGGAGATTTTATTTTATTTATTTATTTATTTTAGTCTTTTTTTTTTTTTTTTTTTTGAGACAGGGTCTCACTGTGCAGTTCAGCTGGACTTGAGCTCACTTTGTAGCCCAGGCTGGCCTCAAACTTGCAAGGATTCACCTGCCTCAGCCTCCTGAGTGCTGATATTATAGAGATGTGCCATGACAGCCAGCTCAGAGGAGATTTTAACTTGGACATTTTAGCAAAGTTGGGACTGTGGAGGATTTCAGGGAGGGATTAATGTGGTTTTAGTTTGTCTTGGTATAGTTGTATCATGTTACACAGAAGAATGACCTTTTGTTTATTTGGAGATTAAATACAGTTTAAGGAGTAGTGTTTGTGTGTAAAGTTGACAAGCACTGGGATGTTATGGTTGTGGTAAACAGCCAACTTGATTTATGTGGGAGCCACATAGGGGATTAGTAAAGTACTCACTGAGGTTTGCGTATAGGTCAAGGAGTCATGACCTTGTGTGTCCTCATCCCTTCCTTGGTAGAGCTGTTTCCTTATTCTGGTTCGCTGCCACCATGCACTGAGTAGCTTTGCTCTGACACATCTTTCTACCATGATATTCTTGCCTTGGAGTCAGTTTTTAACCAGTTCACAGATTAAACCCTGAATCTGTGAGCCAAATGAACCTCTTCTCCTTTGGGTTTCAGGGTGTCAGGTGATTTGTCCAGCAATGGGAAGACTGACTGACACAGTAACCTTATATAGAACACGTGAAGTTTGGACCCTCATATTCTAGGCCTTCCTCTCATAAAGACAAGAAAACCAGTGAGCAAACTGCGGATACAATCACTATGACACATATAATTACTGTAAAGTCAGAAAATATATGAAGGATATGAAAGGGAAGATAATTGACATTTTAAATGAAAGTAGTTCTTGGAATTACTTCCCTAAAATTTTGCTGTTCTTTGTACTTGTAAATCTTCTGTAAATTTATTGGAAGCTGATGTTTTTATCCTGTATGATTGGGTCATCCCAAGAATGAAAAGTTAAGCACAATCAATACATTCAATATCCATGTTCTAGAGTAAATATACAGAAATGTTTTTTGTAATGGATCTTACTGGCAATGATAGGCCACTTTTCTAGTAATAGCTTTAATATTTTGCAATCATTAAACCTACTGAAGCAATAAGAAATGATGAAAAGTTCACAGAAAGACAGGAAGTTCAGGAAGCTCACAGGAAGACAGAAGATGTGGTCCTTTGGAATATCTTGCTATGTCAGTTAAACCACAGATCAAAAAAGTCACTGGAGAAAGCTATCTCTGAGTCACAGCAAAGATAAAAAGGTTTTTAAAAAATATTAAAATGATTCCATATATGATGAAGTATATTTCCAAGGAGGTATCTACAATGATATTGTAAGGACTTCCTTATCATCTGGAGTATTTCATACAATTTAATTAATAACTATATCCAAAAGAAAGAACACACGATAAAATGAAAGTACATGCTCTGTGAGTGAGTGATAGTAACAAAGGGACAAATACAGATATATGAGCTTTCATTTTTAGACTTGTAATGTAAACCTAATCTAAAACCAAATTCATATCAGCATCACAGAAAAGATTCATTAAAATAATGTTTGATAATTCAGGAATGCCATGTTTGAGTTTTTCCTTTCGTAGGATGCATGCTGAACTTTAGGAATAAGTGAGGTACTGTTTTTGTTGGATATATTTTTTAGCAGCTGTTTTATAATTTTCATAGACACTTCCTTAAAAATTATGCAAGATAAAATACTCTGATGTTCATACTTTCTATAGTTTGTCACATACATATTTCTTTTAGGCACAGGAAAAGTAGTCTAAATTCTAAAATTCCAAATTTGCCTTCAAGTAAATCTCTTTAAAACTGTTTAGGAAAATGATAAAAATCTTCTAACTAAACCCTAAAACTCCTTTATAAATATAATTACATAAGCCAATTGGAAGATGGGAAAACTTACTGGTCACACAATTTGAATTGCCAAGTCTCAACTCAAAGGAAAAAAAAAATTTAATCTGAATGTTACTCTAACCTTTAATTTGTAGGTGACTTAATGTAATAACTGCAGATGAGTTTATTTCTTAACCTAAAATACCTCATTAGAATGCAAGGTCCACCTAGAAATGGATAACCTTAATTATGTGAGTTAGCAAGTTTCTACTAAAGCATTTAATGTTCATTCACTGAATTGATAAAGATAATTATGATCACAAAGGAAACATACCTTGGTAGTTATAGTAATTATTGCAAAAGAAACAAAAATCAGGTTAGCAATACTTGATGAATAAATACTTATAAATTAGGCTTCTTTTCTTACTGAGTACAATTGTTTTATTATTTAAAACAAGTATATGTGTATATAATTTTACCAACATTTTGAAAAAACACAAATTGTTAGATTAAGCATTTATTGATAAGAGGAACACCTTTTAAATACATGTAACTTATTAATCAACTTATTATACATAAAACACAATAGCTGTATAGTTATGTCTTGATATGCATAGGAGATTGTGTCTAGGATCTCCTACAAATACCTAAACTTCTAAATGCTCAATTCCTCGTGCAAAATATGCTTTTATTTGCATACAATCATCACATATCCTCCTGTATGCTTTAAATAATCATTATATTACTTATAATACTAATAAAATGTAAAAATTATATAAATTGTGGTCATGGTGTATTGTTAGGTAATAATGAGATAATAACAATTTAAAGGAAATATAAAAATACTGTTATTCTGATTGCAACATTGCACAAATGATCATACTTTATATACTAATTATATGAATATATGTAAAAATTAGAAAAAGTTCATATTTGGTAAATTGCAACAGCTGTTCCAGAGTGAAGAATGTATGTTCATAAAAAATTATTTGCAAGTTTCACTATGTTGATTATCTTGTTAAGTGAGAAAAATGAATTTTTAAAATGACAAGATAATTTCAAATATATCACAAAACTATTACCAAAGAAAGTCAACTAAAAGTACATCATACAATACTTTTGCATGCACCCTTTAAATATATGACAAAAAGTTGCTATCCTATGGAAATGAATGGAAAGAACCTTATCTAAAAGCAAAATTCTCCCAGAGCTTTTTAGTGAATAAAAAATACAGCTTAATCCACTCAGTAACAAACAGGCTCCAGTTTCTCTGGTGTTCACTGGCAGCTCCCAGCTCACTCGGTGTTTCAAGGTGGTGAAGAGCCATAGTCAAGCATGCGTGTGGGTACGTACACCAGTGAGCTTGCAGGTACACTTGAGCAGAAGGTGTGTGACAGGTCAAGACGGAAATGTATTTAAGAATATATGAAACAATGCACGGAAATTTACATTCCAAAAGCTGAAGTTACTTATTGGTATAAACATAGCTCTTGAATTTCTTTTTTTTTTGTTTGTTTTTTTTTTGGTTTTTCTCCGGTACCGGGAACCGAACTCACGACCTTGTGCTTGCCAGGCAGGCGCTTTTGCCGCTGAGCTAAATCCCCAGCCCCCTTGAATTTCTTTTTTACAGAATTAAGAAATAAAGCTTCTTTTTCAACTGATTACAATTTAATCAATAAAAAATCACGGATATTTGAGGATAACAGGGAAGACTTTATAAGCATCATACATGTGTGTGCATGCGTGCGTGTGTGTTCACAAAGCAAAAAATCACAAGACAACTTTCCTTACTAACGTTGGCTGTTTAAGACTTTAGCTTATATTTTCTTTCCAATTTCCATTCATTTTCATACAGGAAATAAAGCAAACTCTTCTCTTTTTTTCCTCGATGAGTAAAACAGCACATATCAATGTAACAGTGATTCTTAGACTGCTAAAATATACATATGTATTTTTCAAGCACAGAAACATCCTGATATAAACAATTTTTTCCAATGGTGTAAGATTTCCTTATGTAGAGACCAAAAGACTCAGAAACCAACCAAATCTCTTGAATGCTTTCAAATGATTCAGAGACTTTTCTATATAAATACAGACACATAAAAGTATGATGTGCTAAGCTATCCTTTCACCTGAGATACAGATACTCCTTCTGACTTTTCACTTAATTCATTAATTACAAATGATAATGTGTTTTCCAAATTATCTAAGTCACAAGAGAATATTGAAAGATTAGAATATATTATGAAAGTATATTAATTCAGAAGATTTTAATATTGAACTTTTCCAGCTATTATAAATTATATGAATTTCATTCTGCCGTGCCTTTAGGAATTTATATTAAAGTGACATGTAAAATTTTAAAAAATAATGGATAAAGCAGCCTTTAAGGTATTTCATAAAATAAAACCTGTCTGATACAACATGTAATTAACTGTCCAAAAGAAAAGGAGAACTTGGGAATCCAGTTTCTCAGGCAAAACTCATCTTCCTTTATCTCTTAACAGTGCAGCAGTTTGCTCTACACAACTTGCAGCAATGGAGAATGATCAAGCTCCTCTTTACTGTACCAGCCGACTCTGCATTCATTTAATTTCTACCTACATTGTTACACTATTTCTAAGGTACAGTTAGTTGAGTGATAGACTTTTTTTATATGAAACATCAAAGAATCAGTGCACTTAATGACACTTAAGAGTAATTAATATGAAAATTCTGATTTAAACCAATATTTAGATTCTCAGTTCAACACTTACTACTACATAGCTATTCCTGAAATACTAACAGCAGCAATATGGAAGTTACCGAGAATGTTAGTTGTCATTTTTCCTTTAAAGAAAAAAATCTACATTTGTGCATGACATGGCAAATGTATAGTCTTATGAATGCCATTATCCAACAAGTAAAATTCGGACCACAGAGCAGAAAGCTAGCAGATGAAGAATTTGCTCACCTGGTGGCAGCAGATCAACAGACTGAAGTCTAGTTGTGATGGTGTGTAGGGTGAGGATAGCAAAGGAAAGCAAAGTCGGGAATGCTTGAAAAATAAAATATTTTTAGTTAACAAATAGAAAAGCCAAGAGGTAAAAAATGGCCAATTGAATCATGAATCCTTTTCTATTGATTGTAATTTTTACCTGAATATCCCTTATATTAAAAATTCCCTATATTGATAAGTCCATGAAAGATATAGCTATTGACATTTCCCAAATACATATGACATAATCCTAGTGGAAGAAAATTACGTTTTGGGTGTGGGCATTCCAGTTTAAATGAGATGGAAACAGTACAAGTAAGTATATGAATCCCTATGTCTATGGGAAAAATAATCTCATGATGATGAAGCTTGCATTTATCTAAACTAAGATAAACAGTGTTCTACAATATGAGTGGATGTACACAAACAGGCCACCAAAATGAAAGTCAGAAACTGTCAATTCTATAATATCCCCAGAGACTGAGGCATTAATATAAACATTTACTGCATTTTAATATTAATTATACACTGTATATTGTCCAGAACTCAAAATAACAGATTTATATAATTTAGCTCTTTTTTTTTTCACTAGGTGAATGATTTATTATTATCATATTGATAATGCGAGACTCTTTAGCCACTTTGGGGAACCCATGTCCCCAGAAGCCTTTCCTGGTGCCCACAGTAGCCCAGGGCAGTGTTTGTTAGCAGGACAGACAAGAGTACAGATTCATCGCAGGTGCCTGAGCTTTTCTCTTCTTCTGCAGAAAAACTGCACACTCGTGATTCTGAGCAGAATCTATTTCGTTTTTTCTTCTTGGGAAATAGCCCTCAAACCAGGAATATTCCTGAAAAGAGCAGGAGCAGGAGAACTGCTAAGTTTCCTGCCCGATCTTGCTTCCTGACTTGGGTGGGGTTGAGAACAGGCTGAAAGAGGAGGAGTAATTTGGCTCTTTAATGAATCACCCAATATTTAAAAGTGTATTGACTATAATAATAGATATATGTATATATATATCCCACATATGTATGATGTTTTTCGCAACTTCTATTATTTATGTAAGATGAAGCCTTTATATAATTCAAAATTAAAGCAATATAGTTTTTTTGTTTTGCTTTTCATAAGTATCTAACTTAGGTATACAATGAATGTGTGTAATTGATCTACTTCTTAGATTAAAGTAAAAATGAAAAGAACGTTTTGTTTGCATTAGTGTTACTGAAATGTGCAGCAAATATTAGAAATCAATTGCTGCCTAAAGGTTCTGCCCCCTAAAAAATGCCTGCTGCTGAGCAAAAGTAGCTTCATTCTTAAGTAGTCTCATTTTCTTAGTTTGAAGCTTTCTTCACATCTGTTGCTTGACCCTCTCCACTATTCAAGATTCCAGCGTACAATAGGCAGAGGAGTCAATAACAGGAAGCTCAAATATTTTTCTCAAAGTTACCCTTCAGATTTTTAAAAATTATTTTGTGTCTTTTTCTCCCCTGGCTTCACATTTAATTTGTGAATTTCTCTCCTATTCTTTTTAAAATTTTATTGGTACTTCTTAGGTGGACATGATGATAACACTCATCACAGGGAATCTGGACCTGTACTTGGTATATCTTGCTGCTTGTTTTTTTCCTCTTTCTCATTCCCCGGCTTCAGTCCTCCTTCCCCTTCTTATTTACATAGCTTTGTTTCCATCTTCTCCTTCTATTCTTTTCCCTTGTTCTTTATCCATCTCTCTTCTGCTATTAAAGCATACTTCCAAAACAGATAGAAATAACTGAAAATGAGTCTCCAGCAAGAGTTAAATTATGTCTATTCTCATAGCTAACAAAAAAAAGAGAGCACAGGATACGCAGAATATTTACTTTTTTTTAGTAGGTTCAGCTTAAAATTTAGAATAGCTCTCATCCAAAACTTATACTGGAAAACTTAGACTCAATATATATGTCCTCAATTTATTCTTCTTTTATTATTAGACTTATTTGTCTTTTCTGCATATGAAATGGTTTTCTTAAATTTTCAATTCTAACAGCAAAAGGACTTATCTTCTAACTCATGATCATTTTACTATGTAAGAAGCTCTTTACATTTACTTGATAATAATCCAGACGTACTAGCCAATATCAAATATACTTTATATACATATTGATAATGTCATATGCTATAAAGTAATTTAGCGAATCAATTTAAGTGTATAACTACTGGAATAAAAAACATGCATCCCATCAATCTTGGAGAAAAAAAAAAAAAACAGCTAGAGGCTGTGCCCTTGGTTAAATACTGTGCTCCAAAATTCATTTCCACCTAGAATATCAGAATATAACCTCATTTGAAAAGAGGGTCTTTGCATGTGTAATTATTTTAAAATGCAGTCTTCATAGATTACAATTGGCTCTAATCTAAAGATTGATGTAGTAAGAGAAAACAGACACAGATATAGTCACACAGGGAAAACACCATGGGGCCACAGAGGTGGAAATCAGAGGGAGGGAATGGAATTCTGACACCACCAGAAGCCAGGAAGAGGCAAGGAAGGATCCTCCCTCTAGACCCACAGACAAAGCATGGCCTCAAGGGTAACATGATTTCGTACTTCTAATCTCCAGAAGTATCACAGAATAAACCTTTGTTGTTTGAAGCCAGCAACAGTAATTTGATACATCAGCCTTAGACTTAGAAAACTAATACAGGTTATCAAAAAGAAAGTTTAAAATAAGAAGAGGGGAGAGAGGGCAAGAGAAAGATAGAGAGAGAGAATCTATTAAGAATGGCAATGAGACAAACTGTAAAAGTGGATAGCAAATTCTGGAAAGGAAAAACAAGATGGAAATTAAAAATTAACTTGATGTTTTCCATATTATAGTTCATAAATAAACAATTTAGTAAGAGAGATAATGACGTATGATAGTGGAATTGATGCCACTGACCATACAGCTTCTCGGGAAATTACCTAGAATGTACATAAATGATTGTTTGAAATCATACAAAAACTTTCAAGTAATAATGGTCTACAGTTTACTATAGTTCAATTTACAAGTTTTTGTATTCTGATGATACAAGAAAACTGTACATTCAGCAGAAATTGCTTTGAATTTTCATCTTTTTTGTGCTAGTGGTTTATGAGAGAATATTCTCTCAGGTAACTATAGCTCCAAATCATCTGATCATGAGTGTAAACAATAAGCTATTGTGTTCTCTGTTGCTAAACAAAGCAGTTGAATAGGTTCAATGGTTTAAATGAATTTTTTACTTAGGCTATTTTCTATCTTATGATCTGTTTATTTGGATATAGATTCAAAATAATTTGAAAAGAATCTATGGAATATTTTTAAAAGCATGAAATTTAATAGGTCTTTTGCTTATTATTATTTTTTTTTCTTTTGCTTATTTTCAAAGACTACTAAGGCCTCTCTCTTCGGTTTGTAGAATGTTTCTTTTTTATGCTTTATATATCGCATTTTAGTGCCAGCTGAAGGGGTAAACAGTTAAACAGTGAATGTACATTACTGGGTTAGTAAACCAAATTTGTGATAAAGTTATATGCACATATATGTATGCGTATTTGAGTTAAGAAACAAAAAAATGATAATCATTTAAAAGAAAAAAATTATAGTACTCTTTTGTAAATATGGCTTTGTTCACATGTATGTACTTTACATGAAACAGTATGAATTGTTTTGAGAGAGTTTAATGGACTATAGCATTATCTCAAAATGTATACTAATAACTTTTACATTTTTGATACATATTTAGACGTTTAAAATATTCCATATTTATATATGCCTTGAAAGGCATCTCCAAAATGAAAAAAATTAAGTCCCACATATATTTTTCTTAAAATATTCTGATAGTAATGCCAAGAAAATATACTAGTAGATTAGGAATTGTTATATTACTAGTAAAGGACTTTATCCCAAGTTAACTTATATTGTGTTTCTTTAAGAGTTTATATATGATGTCATTTTTTAAGACATTATAGTTCAGGAAAGATAATAATTGTGGGAATAGAGAAAACTAAACGTCAAAATTATTTTAAAAACTTGAGTCAAATATCACAAGTATGTTGTTCACAGAGAAGATGATGCTATTTTATAACTAATGTAGAAAGACTATTCGCGTTCCCTTAGTAACTGCAGAGCTTCAAAACTGATCTCTCTGAATTATATAATATCCCGAAAGTGATTGATCTTAATGGTGTTTTAAAAGCAAAAACAAGGGGCTGGGGACTTAGCTCAGCGGCAAAAGCGCCTGCCGGGCAAGCGGAAGGTCGTGAGTTCGGTTCCCGGTACCGGAGATAAACCAAAGAATAAATAAATAAATAAATAAAAGTAAAAACAGTACCTAATACACAAATGCAAGAAAATATTTCTGATTGTTTTGTGATATTGTTCGTGCTGGAGTGTTTCTGCCAAGCTATTTCAGTTTCTCTAAATGAAAAATTAATGCATGTTTATCGTAACGTAGTAAATTACACCCCTGTCATTTTTTTTCGAATCGTGCCTTCCAAGTATTGTGTCCACATCTTCAGTTTCAATGGTTTTGAGGGCAGGAATTTGAGTCACTGAGGCAGGCTTCATAATCAGACATAGCTATGAAATTGAAATTATTCCTAATATTTGTCTATCAGTCATTATGATGACCCAGAAATACAATGGAAAATTAGATTTCAACAAAAAGGGCCTATGTTAACACTAAGAGTGATCACAGGGGAAAATGTTGGATACATTTTTGGTTTTCTATAAATTTTCTACTGTCTACAAGAGCGCTTTCGCGAGCAGATTTTGTTATCTGTAATGCCTACCCAAAAGTCATGAAGACATAATAAGCCATGTAATCATCATTATCTTTGACAATGGCTACAAAGCAAAGAAAAATCACTTAAACCCTTTCACTTTGATGTCAAAACAAAATGGCACACTGACAGGTACAGACTGGGCTGTGATTAAATTGCCATGACTACAAACCTGTATAACTGACTTTTCATTCATTTAGTCTTGAAATCAGAGGACACACATCTGAAAGTATAAAAATAGCCAACAAAGCTAGAAATAAAGCTTATCTGAAAATC